AAGGGAGAGGATACAGTCATGGCTTCTTAGTTTCTGTGTCTGGTCTGGTTGGGCCAGTAAAGCCCCTTCCTCATCCCGCTTTTCTGCTTACTACTAGAGGCAGAAATTAAAAACCATGGCTTCAGGCTGATAAAAGCCCAACAAAACAGACCAACAACAACAAAATAAGGAAGGTTGGACAATCTGGATGTAGACTATTTTTCTTTTCTTTTTTTTTGTTTTTTTTGAGATGGAGTCTCACTCTGTTGCCCAGGCTGGAGCACAAGGGCGCTCAATCTCCGCCTCCTGGGTTCAAGCAATTCTCCCACCTCAGCCTCCCGAGTAGCTGGGATTACAGGTGCACGCCATCATGCCCAGCTAATTTTTGTATTTTTAGTAGAGATGGGGTTTCATCATGTTGGCCAGGCTGGTCTCCAGCTTCTGACCTCAGGTGATCCGCCCACCTCGGCCTCCCAAAGTGCTGGGATTACAGGCATGAACCACCACACTTGGCCTATTTTTTTATAATTCAAACTTTGTTATAGGAAATACTTCTCCTTCCAGTTCTCTCCTGTCCATGATTCCCTAATTGGAATTCAATCAGTCATTTCTAAGGATGAAGATGGAAATTTCCAAGGCTTTTATAATTGCTGAATACAGATATTTTGAGCAAGCTCCTGCCTGACGGGAATAAATCATTAATTGAGTTTTTTTTATTCTTAGAGTATGGAAAAATATTTTACCTGGAAAAGGTCAAAAAGAACACCTTGTCACAAGAAAAGGCAAAATGTACCATGTAAAGTTTAAATCAGGACAATAGCTCACTCAACAGTGGGTTCTTTCAGTCTTCACACTGAAATGCCAAAGCTTACTTGGTTACAGGATCAATAGGATCAATTTTTTTTTTTTCCCAGCAAAAACTCATCCTCACCAGGGGCTCCATACCAAAAGCATCCTTGCACAGCTGGGGCATAAGTCAGCAGCAGCAATTGTACAAGATGTTGTGTCAATACTTAAAGGGTACATTTCAGGTAGTGTCAAGTCTGGTCTCATGTTCCCTAAACACACATGCTGAGAGCAGATAGTCTATCACCTTGGGCCCTGTCTCACTCCTCTTCTACCGGCTGTGGACAAACAGCCAGTGACTCCTATCTCTTGGATAGGAGACTCCTGGATATCTTCCCAGAAAGACCAGTGGTATTCTTTAATTTCTCTTCTAGCATACTTAATAAAACCAAGTCTCTCTGAACTTGGCAGGTGGTAACAGTGCCTTAAAAAAATTGTCACTCCTGTTCTTAGGCTCCCCTATAACACAAATAATCATGATTGAGTTTGGGGGAGGTCCTTTTAAAAATATTTGTTAATACAAGTGGTCACACCACTTAGTTTTCTTGCACCAAGATAAGGAGAGGAAGATGGAAAGCATCTTATAGGTTGGTGCAAAAATAATTGTGGGTTTTGTCATTAAAAGTAATAACAAAAATCGCAATTACTTTTGCTCCAACCTGATAATATCAAATTAAGAGTAACCTGCAGAGAAAATAATAGAATTAAGGAAATAACTAAAAATGTGTGCTCCAAGTATGTCCAGGTATATCCAGGTATATGTCAAGTGGATGCGGCTGGAGGAAATTATGAGATTAATTACTTCAATCCCTAGTTAAATAGGGAAGAAACCAAGGCAAAGAGAGAGCTCATTGCTTTTCAAGATAGCAAGGTAGCAGAGTCTGGTTTTAACTCAGGCTTCCAGAATCACAGACCAGTAAACTTCATGTACTGAACTGATCCAAAATCTTTTATGTGAAACTCATAGGGCTGCGTGTGTTTATTCTTTAATTTTTACTTCTTCCAGTGGCCAGCTGCAGAGCATATTTATTTATAATGCACATACTATAAACAAAAAACCCTCACAGCCTCTGAGACAACACATTGTCATTAAACACAATCATACCCTTACAATGAAGCATATGAATATTCACACTAAGCAGGATAAACAAAAACCCTAAGTAACCAATTGTTAGTTTGGGTAAGAATTTTGCCACCACAAGTAACTTAAAAAAGTTTTTTTGGTGTTCAGAGTTTTCCGAATTTTCAGAATTGCAGATAATGGGTTGTGGTCCTATATGGCTATACTTCTATGAGAAGAAAAAAAGAAAAAATCCTCAAGCATTTTAAAGCAGCGCATCCACTGTATAATGATTAAGAGCGTTCAAACATCTGCAGACTTTATTAAAAGACAGTTTGCTGCAACCCCACAGTTTCTGATTCAGGAGGTGAAGGTGAAGCCTGAGAATTTTTACTTCTAACCAGTTCCCAGGCGATGCTGATTCTGTAGGCCCAGGGACCACACTTTGAGAACCACTGGTTAAGAGAATGAGCTTTGCACTAATGGGCCTGGGTTCAAGTCCACCTTTTCTTAGTTGTTTGGTTTCAGGCAAATTACACAATTCCTGCTGGGAAATACATGATAATGTTATTGAGGATCCTTTGTATGTGGTAAGCTACTTTACTGCTTTCAAGATTCTCTCTTTGTCATTGGCTTTTGACAGTCTAACTTGGTATGAGTCTTTGAGGTTTATCTCGGATTTCTTTGAGCTTCTTGTATTTGTACATTTATGTCTTTCTTCAAATCGGGAGTATTTTCTGCCATTGTTTCTTCAAATAATCTTTCTGGACTCTTTCTCTCTTCTTCTGGGACTCTCATAATGCATATGTAGGTCCACTTGATGGGATCCTGCAAGTTCCTTAGGCTTTGTTCACTTTTTGTTATTCTTATTTCTTTTTATTCCTCAGACTCAATGATTTTAAATGAACTTTTTCAAATTCACAGATTCTTTCTTCTGTCTATTCAAGACGGCTGTTGGACCCCTCTGGTGAGTTTTTTAAGTCATTTACTGTATTTTTCTGTCCAGAATTTCTATTTGACCCCTTTTATAATTTTTACTTATTTTTTTATATTCTTTTGTTGATACGTTATTTTCTTGATTTCCTTTAGCTTTTTAAGTGTATTTAAGAAAATGGTTTTAAAGTTTTTGTCTAGTAAGTCTGATGGTTGTGTTTCTTCAAGTTTTTGAAGATTTATTTTGTTCCTTTGAATAGGCCAGATTTTCTCTTTTTTTAAATTTTAATGTCTTGTGATCTTTTGTTGAAAATTGGGCATTTGAAAAAAATAGCCATGTCTCCCAGTCTTTAAAGACTGATTCTCAGCAGAGGAAGACCTTCACGAATAGGCCCTCTGTGAAGGCCTTTTCTGGCCATGTGTCTCCCTTGGACCTGTGTGCGTGCTTTATTCTGATTCCCTCATACACACAGCTGGTTAATGTCTCAATTTCTCTAACAGTCTCACCCCTGCTGCCTCTTGGGGTCTCACCTGTTCTACTGCATTGCTCAAAGATCTCTTGCCCCAGGCATCTGTGAGTCTATAAAACCCTTGTGATTTTCATAAGCCATGCCTGCTTCTTCTATCTTCCTCTAGCCTGAAATCCAAACTGTGCCACTTTTAGCTGTCTGAGCTCCTAGTTAAGCAACACAGAGGTCAATCTCCCAGGCTTCTGTCATACAGGGTGGAACATTGCAAATATGGTCCAAATCTCTCCAATTTGCAGAAGGAAATTGGGCACCAGGCCATCACATCCCCCAGACTACCATGCTGTCTTGGGGAGGGGGTGGAGCAAGGGTGAGTAAAAATGCAATATAATTTCCTACTATGTTTAATGTGGATTTTTTCTTAGTTGGGTATTTGCTTGGTTGTTATAAATTTTTGACTGATTCCCAGAGCTTCTATAAAATTATTTAATCAGTCTCTTGTTTATTTAACATTTCCTTGGGAAAACAAGGGCCTAAAACTTCCTAGTCTGCCATCTTCCTGATGTCCTCATCGCGTATCTTCTTAAGCTTCCGTTCCTTATCGTACCCACTTCAGAGTTTTCCAGATGATTAAATGAAACAATGTACATAAAGGATTTAGCACAGACTTTGCATATAGGAAAATCTCAATAAACTTTGGCCACTATCATAAAAATAGTACAATTGAGGAGTACAGATTTAGTTCCTTATCTTCCTTATCTCCATCACTGAGAGTCTTCAATGCATGTGGCACAATGCTGACTTAATTGTGCTTGAATCACAAACTTTTCCTTGCCCAACACACCCACAAATATCAGTTGCCTAATCCATGCTATGCCCATCTTCCTCTGTAGTGCTATTGTGTATCTCTCATCCATAAAGGGTATATGTTACTTAGCATACGAGATAGATCTTTTGCTCTCATGTTTTGTTTCCTAAGTCATGCTTGTTCACAACTTTTAAGAGCAGTTTCTGTTCTCATTACCTATCTAAGGTCTAATGAAGTTTTTATTCTAGTGGCATTGTGAGAAAGTTACACATTAGACTTAAGTCTTACCTTTAATATAGGCCTGGCCAGGCTTAATGTGAATATACTTATGCTTGATAAAATAATAGAGGAGTACAGGCACCTTTTTCTCTCTCTGAAGCTACCTCCTACTTCTCAAATACCCCATGTCCACTGTATGCCTCCTTCATTTCCCACATTTTGGTCAAATGCTGATTCTAGTTCTACCTTTTCCAACAAAAATCTTCCTTTACTTTTTGCCTATCTTCCATTTTGATGAACAAATACAATGCCTTTTTTGTTTGTTTCTGCTGCTTTTATAGAGAATGTGCTTCATTGGTCTTGCACTAGGGAACACACTGCTAAGACAATGAGCTGCAGTGCTAGGTGCAACAGCATCAGCCATTACAGGGTTTTCAAGGTGATTATCACCTTGAGATAACAGAACTTTGGGGCAGGAGATGACAGCGAAGGTCATAACTTACGGCAGTCATCTGAGCTAGACATCAAAGGCATTTTTCCTAGACTTAGTGGTCACTTTAGTGGTCACCTGAGAAGCAACTAACTGGAGAATCCAGGAACATTAGTTCTGTGGTCAAGGCTATTGGTACTGCTGAAAGAAATTTCCCAACCTAGAGGAGGTTGACTGATCACCCAACCAGATTCTTACCAGTGGCTAAGCCTTGGTGAGTCCATCACCTCAAGGTCAAGTTTTCAGACGTGATGATGGCTCAGAAACCTGATTTGATCAGCACGCTGAAATTGGGATATGAAACTGCATTAGTCAAGCTTAAAGAGACACAAGCCAGATGGTTTTGCATTAATCTACCATAGCCAAGAATGAACAAGTAGGTCTGGCCAGCATCTATCCTCACTGTTGACAGCTGCTTGAAACCTCAATGATCCAACATCTTGTGTAAGATGTTCTTTTCCTTCCAAATAAGATATAATTTCCCGTTTCAAATTCTAATCATGGAATAGCTCTGCTTTGCTGAAAATATACCTATATCACCTTGACTGGAGTTTTGGGTGCCTCTAAAGTATTCAGGTATATATTTAAAGACAGATCTCCTGACTCTCTCACACAGATGGCTCCTGATTTTAATTGTTTTACTAATTTAACTCTGATCACAAGCTTTTTTTTCCTAAGTTGTAGGGGTGGCTTTGCTAGTCCCTATTGTTTGCCAACTGATAGAAAGCTGCATTTTTACATAGAATCATTTAAAAAATCTAAACACTGAATTGTCACTGCAGCCTAAAATGCTTCCTAATTTCTGTAAATGAAATACAACACTCAGAAGAGCCGTACATTTTCCTTACTGTGTTCCCGCACCATTTGGCCAAGCAGCTACCCACTTGAGGATGTCCGTATTCTACCACACCGCCAGACTTGCCCCACTGCTGTGGATGACTGAAAACTCCCAGGAGGGACGATGTTTTTCTCTGGCTTTGTCAGACGTTTAGCCTCTGCAGTGGGGAGTTTATGCTGCCATGGCTTTTTACAGAGAAAACAAACACTATAAGGTAGAGTATGGATGCTATTTGTCCAATAATAATGAAGCGGTGGTTTACTAGTTGTCCTCTGATTCATGTAAGGGTCAGCAGGATTATGATGAGGAGTCAGTATAGGAATTGGCTAAGTGGGCGGAATGTTATGCTTTGTTGTTTGGTTGTATGAAGTATGGGGATAAGTGCAAAGATAAGGATTGATAGTAGGAGTGCTAATACGCTGTAAGGTAGGCACCAAAACTTAACTAATTAATCAACACCAGATGATTCAAATAAAAATAAAAACCTACTGGAAGGAAAGACACTTTAAATTCCTTTTGGAAATAGATGGAGTCTAAATCAATAAATAATACTGGAAAGGACATTTGCCTAAATTTACAAGAAATTATAAACTTCTTGGTAGATATATTTAGTGTGTCAACAAACATTTATTGAGTACCTACAATGATTTAAAAACTATGCTAGACGTTGGGGAAATACAGAAGAAAAATGCACTTCCACCCATCAGGCTTACTCACTTATCTCGCCTGGGGAAGAGTTTTCAACATCCTTGGCAACTCTCGGATTAAATATTTATATTATTGAAATAATAATGCAGTTCCAGTGGGCACTGAGATCCTCAAGTCCTCAACTACAGCTGCCTTGACAACTTATTGGAGGATAACTTTTCTTTTCTTTTTAAGAAAAGGGATCTTGCTACATTGTCTAGACTGCATTTGGACTCCTGAGCTCAAGCGGTCCTCCCACCTCAGCCTCCCAAGTAGCTGGGACTACAGGCATATGCCACCATGCCTCACTCCTTTAATTTTTTGATGTTCTCTGCTGCATTCTGGTTATGATGGCATAAAGCACAAGCTTTGAATCAGAGATCTGCTTTAAGACTCCACTTACCTTGGGAAAATTACTTTGATAACAGAGTCTCAGTTCTTTGTAAATAGGAATTCAACATCTACTTAATAGGGTTGAAGTGAAAAGTACAACCAATGGCTAAGAGCTTGGTTCCTGAAGTCAAATAGGCCTGGGCTTGAATCCTGGGTCAGTCATTTTCTACCATAGTGACCTTGCGTAAGTTACTTAAGTCCTCTATATCTGTTTCCTTGTGGGGAAAAAGGAGGGGGAAATTGTATTCCGCAGAATTTATGTAAGGAGTAAATGCCATAATAAACGTAAAGTGTTTAACACAGTGCCTAGCACGTGGTTATTATGTAATAAAAGCCAGTTGTCATTCGTATTTGAGCATTAAATGATTTACTGTATTTTAAGCACGAAGCACGCTTAAAATGAGTGCCCATTTTGGGGGCAGCAAATTTCAAAGATGCCATTTTGTGCCCCATATAGCTTATAACAGAGACCTCCAACAGTGGAGGGGCTCCTTCGGGGAACAGTGCGCTCTGTTACTGGAGCACTTTCTTTCCTGGCAGAGCCCCGTCCACTATTGCGGGCACCTTCATGACTGTCGGTTGAGGCTGGAAGAACAGGTCTCCTGAACTGGGGAGAAGGTTATACGAGATGTTTTTGAAACCTCTATTCAACTTTAATTTTTCTCATTTTATGCCATGTAATCATCTCTGGTTAGAGGAATAATTAGATAATAATTCTATATTAACACTGAGGTAATATATAAACTTTATTAATTATTGAATAATTTTAAATTATTTAACATTTAATAATTTTAAGTTCAGGGTTACAAGTGCAGGTTTGCTACATAGGTAAACTTGTGTCATGGGGGTTTGTTGTGCAGATTATTTCATCACGCAGGTATTAAGCCTACTACCCACTAGTTATTTTTTCTGATCCTCTGCCTCCTCCCACCCTCCACTCTCATGTAGGCCCCAGTGTCCGCTGCTCCCCTCTTCGTGTCCATGTGTTCTCATCGTTTAGCTCCCACTTATAAGTGAGAACATGCGGTATTTTGTTTTCTCTTCCTGTGTTAGTTTGCTAAGCATAATGGCCTCCAGCTCCACCTATGACCCTGCCAAAGACATGATCTCATTCTTTTTTATGGCTGTATAGTATTAAATGGTGTATATGCACCATATTTTCTTTATCCAGTCTACCTTTTTTTTTTTTTTCTTGAGACAGAGTCTTGCTCTTTCACCCAGGCTGGAGTGCAATGGTGCAATCTTGGCTCACTGAAACCTCTGCCTCCCAGGTTCAAGCAATTCTCCTGCCTCAGCCTCCCAAGTAGCTGGGATTACAGGTGCCTACCACCATGCCTGGCTAATTTTTTGTATTTTTAGTAGAGACGGGGTTTCTCCATGTTGTCCAGGCTGGTCTCAAACTCCTGACATCAGGTGATCCACCTGCCTCAGCTTCCCAAAGTGCTGGGCTTAGAGGCATGAGCCACTGCACCTGGCCTCCACTAGTGATAAACATTTAGGTTGATTCTATGTCTTTGCTATTGCAAATGAACATACATGTGCATAACATTTAATAATTTCAAATTATTTAACATATACACTTCAAGTTATTTTTATAAAAAAATCTGTAATTGGGAAATATTCAAGAATTTGTAAATACTTTTTCTCTAGAAAAATGTAAGTCTTTTCCCTTTCCTACATCCCTAACAATTATAAAGAGAAGTTCAAATTGAGGCAAATTATCTCATCTCAAAATGAATGGTGATTTTCTTTTAAAACTCTATGTCCTATTACTTGTTCAATCTCTTTAAACAAGAATAATGTTCTTTGTTAGTTCTGCTTCTGGCGGTAATATTATGAACTAGGTCAGAAGGTAGTTAAAAAAGAAATAGGTCCATAGCTAAGAATCTCATTTCAAAGGAAAAAAAAAAATACCACCACCAACCTGGCCATGTTCCATGTTCAAAATAAACTCTATTCTCTATTCCAGGGCATTCATGAGACTTCTGAGAAAAATGCCAAAGAAATGTTCCACCGAGAAGAAGAAGGGTTGAGAGCCTGTCAACCTAACCGGGATGTCATCCCTTTCAATGGGGGATCAGTGACAAGTCACTTTCCCTTTGCTCCTCAATGCCTCTGAATGCTACTGCTCATGGGAATGCAGTACTAGGAACACAGTACTGGGTACCCAGTCAAGGAGGCATAAAAACTATGCTTATATTGGTACCTTTATCCGCAGCTTGAAAGGGGAGAAGAGGTTTAGAATAGGAACACTGGAATATTTTTTAAAAGTGGCTCACATAAGAAAAACAAAAAGGGAGTCATAATGGCACTGTGTGGGACAAAATGACGTGCCCTGGGTCTGTGAAGAAGAGTGTGAGTGTAGAAGAAAGGGCAGTGCTCAGACAGGCTGGGATTAAAACGCTTCTTTGCCCAGGATAAAAAGAGGACCAGAGGTGAGACGGCCTGCAGAGGGCATGTTCTTCTACAAAGCCAACACCCTGAGTCCCACCGTGTTCCTCCTGGGGGAACAGAGGCCAGATTTGCTATTTTTCAGACTACTCTGCTGTCACACCTGCCAAATGCTGCCAGCGGGCACTACCAGAACCTGGACACTCTTGGGCCAGCTGCCAAACAAGTGTCCCGACAGGAGAAAGAAGGAGAGCTCTGCAACCGGCAAGCCCCGACACTGTGTTAGGCCAACTGGTTTCTTAGTTTGCATCTTGGTTCCTGCAACTATCTTGTACCTTGTGAATCTCTACGTGAGATGTACAATGCCTACCAAAGGGAAATGTCGAGTGCGCTGGTCAAGAAAAAGGATGACTTTTTGGGCTTTTAATATATATATTTTTAAAGATGGGGTCTCTCACTATGTTGCCCAGGCTGGTCCTGAACTCCTAGGCTCAAGTGGTGCTCCTGCCTTGACATCCCAATGTGCTGGAATTACAGGCGTGAGCCACCTCATCTAGCCTATACCTTTTTAAAATTGTGGGAATGTTAGTTTTACTTCAAAAAGGGGGAACAAGAAGAGAAAAGGGAAGAAAGGGACAAAGAAAAGGGAAGAAAGGGATCGAGAAAAGGGAAGAAAGGGATAGAGAAAAGCAATACTTTTTTTTTTTTTTTTTTTTTTTTTTTTTTTTTTTTTAGCACAGAGGTAGGAGAGATTAAATCATGAAATTACACCTAGTGTTGGGATGTCTTGGGGAAAGGGGTGGAGGTGAGAGACTCTGCCTTGCTGATTTCTCTCTGCCCTGATGTCACTGAGGGAAATGGACTATGAGCAGAGGTGGGGCAGGAAGGGCTCCCGAAAAGCCCTCTTCGAACATGGGAGTTTCCAGCCTAACTTGCAGTTCCCAAGGTTGTTTGTGGTTGTTTTTAAATATCACGGACCAGCAAAA